CATGCATGGATTTTGTTCAGATTTAGTACAATGTGTTGTACATATGCAGGTGCATTTCGGTCATGATCCGCTTTGAATGTATATGTCACTCAAATATGAACGGAACGGGGACGTGTCATTGACAATGACTTGTTTTATTTCACATAACGATGATTTGTCAATAGACTTGTCAAAAACATGGTTTATGTGTTTGATTTGAGAAAAAAAATTCACATGTATATTGTGTTCTTGCCAGAAGTAGCTGTTTAGCGTTACCAGATTTGGGACACTACGACTACGAATAAGATAAGTAAATGTAAAACAATACATGAAATATGAAACTAAAACTGTCAATAATTATTACAATGTGCATAATAAATTGAATTGCAAATGAAAATATTTAATTTGAAGAAAAGTTACAATTTATGGTTGAAATGTGACACATTGGCTGTTCCAAAAGTGCTGTACAAATAAAATCGACATTTTCGATGTATGCCAGTCCCTGGACTAACTGACCCAAATGAAAATGTTAACATAATCACTATATCACTTTTCTAACTATTGTAGTACCATTTACTTGCCGATTATAATAAGATACTGTAATAACAAGTCATCTGAAGATGACACAGCAACCACTTCTCAGATGTGATTATAGTTTTTTTTTTCGGGTAGGAAGATTAAGTTGAAAATCAAAAGTATGTAACTCAAAGTTAACAGCTAGGGCATCTCTATTAAAATTGGTAAAATTTGCATCAATTTTAACAAAAATTCACAATCAATTGAATATGGAAATTCAATTGAGCCAATATTAAATAACAAATACATGAACTATTATTTCACAAGATATTAACAAGAATTCAATAATAATAAAATATGCAAATGAGCTCATTAATTGATTCCTTGAAAAAATAAGTCAATGCGCACCTGTACCAGTGGTCACTCTGTCTTTGTACCAAGTCACGGCAAAATAACTCCAGGCATCTCCGGAAATGATGATGGACACTCCCAAAAAACTGGGTTTTACAGGATTTTGAAATTCAAAATGGCCGCCATGCAGCCATACTTGATCAAATCAGGAAATAAATCCATGTGAATATGTATACCTCCTCACTGTGTCTTTGTACCTAGTATCATTGAAATCAGTCAAGGCATCTCTGAGAAATATCAATGGACAGACAAAAGCCACGATTAACCATCAAAATGGCTGCCAGTCGGCCGTATTTTATCATTTCAAAAAGTGAAACAACGTGCATCTGTATGGGTGGTCCCTTTGTTATTGTAACAAGTCTGAACAAAATCGATCAAGCCATCTCCAAGAAATGATGGACACTCATTGACAAGGACCGAATTTGACTGAATTTTGGCATTAAAAATGGCCACCAGTCGGCCATATTTGACTTTGTCCGGATGGGGGCTAATAATAGGTACATAGATATTGTACATTGCGGCCCGGTGTGCTTACGGAGGTTGGTGTGCAATCACGAAACCCGATGAGATGTTTGTGAAGGCGTAGAGTTCCGTGATCATACAATCGGTGATTTTAACTGATAAAAATATTACACTCAAGAAAGTGAACATAGCACAACTATTACAACCTTGTTCATTGAGAACCTAGATTAAATAACAATTGTATGGATGAACGACTAGTGATGCAATATCTTTTCTTGCCATGACGAAAGTTTATATGAGAGTACTGAAACAGTGCAATAATATAATACATTAACATTTGGAGTTTTATAAAAAATTATACTACAGCTACATGCTTTAGTTCCTAATTTTGGCAATAAATATACTTGCCAATGTGTTTTAATAAATGAATACTGCATATACTGTATTAATCCTAATGTACCTTATAAAATAATAAACTATGAATTGTAAAAAAAAAAAAAAAAAAAGTTTCCAAATAAAAGTGCAGTAATATATTTAGGCAAAATAATGTCACTTTTTGTATCCATACTCATAACATATCAGTTTACAGTTGACAGATTATCTTTGAGAGCATATTACTAAAATCTGGTTCTTATTATCAGCAGCAGTATAAATGTCTTCATTCCATGCACTTATTTATATGTCTAAAAATGTTTTATTTTACCCCATATCTTGTACTAGCTAATTACATCAAAATTGAACTTGGTTGAAATTTCATAGTGATTAATAATATTTCCAAATTTTAAGATTATCAGATAAAATTGTTTGAGTTTTTGTAACCACAAGAAAAAAATTGAAGTGAAATCTATTGAATATTTTGTAAAATATACGTAGAGCCTATATCATAATCGAAATCTTAAACTGGTTAATATAATATCCAAGTTTGAAAGAATTAGCTAAAACTGAGTTATTGTATCAGATTATGACATTTTTTGTGGAGTTGAATAACATCATATACACCAGGAGACTAAGAATCTAACTAGAACCTCACGTCATGTCAAAATAAAATAGTCTCTTAACTATCGCAGTATTGCCATGCTATCCGAACCCCAATATGTTGTATATTCTATACGTATCATCTACATGGAATTCTTCTACGTGAAACTAATGCAGGCTCACAAATATCTCAATATTACGTGTTTTATAGAACCCCGATCTAAAAAACCCACTCGCATTTCAAAATATTATACGCTCGCTATTAACGCAATACTAAAATTAGTGAAAGCTGCTACTACCAATAATATAATATATAAAAAATTATAGTAAGTAATCGCAATCCTTGATAATTATTCAAAATAATCAGAATGAAGTATTCTTTCTCATTGATAGATATGTTGTTCCTACCCGCTTTCCTGCGAAATTATGTGGTCATATTATCACTCGGGTACGATATATGTGAACCC